TTTTCGTGGGAGGGGAAGGGGCAAGCAAGCAAGCAGGGAAAAGCGTACGAGAGAACGTCAGAAGGGTCGCCCTCTTTGGAGAAGACGAGGGCCTTAGCCTGGGTGTAGCCGTAGGGTCCCGACTTGTGCCTGACTGCTATTCGAGAGAGGTTGGCTGCGCATGGCGTCTGTGATGACATGGCCGGTCGCAATGCTGACGACAAGGGCCGTAGCCTTGAAGCTCGGAGCGTGGCCATTGTGTGTGTTCTTCGTCAATGTCTGGTGGAAAGGGCGTTTGTTCGATGGCTACGCACACCATACGACACGAGCTTTCGAAGCTTCGGAGCAGAAGAAGTCGTGAGAGAGCTTCGGCAAGGATGACGTCGGTTTAGGTCGGTCGTTCGGTTGGCTGTCGGTCGAACGGACAGCCCCTCGCACCTGGCGCACACCCGGCTCACACCTGGCATGCACCAGACAGAGCTGCAGTGTGAGATGCCGTGGTGCGGCTGTGCAACGACAAGAGGCTTCGCTTCGTTCGCCAGCCACACTGCACCCCAGAGTTCAATCCTCGTGCCGATTGGATGACAAGCACGACGCAGCTGCTGATGTAAGGCTAAAGCACGACGCATCCGAGGTGACCCCTGTATCCCCCTGAGCCGGGGGGAGGGGGGGGGGGACAGAACTCCACTGCAACCGTGGAGCCCGTCCCATGGCAACGGTGCAGCGATAGGAGAGAGAGACAGACAAGATGGCGACCCAACATTCGGCTGGTCATGGGCATATTCTCTTTTATTAGTTTTTGACATGGCAGTTCTTGGATGCTATTGATCGACTGCCAGAAAGTAAGCAATACAGCCATGCAGCCCGTATGCGGTAGCCCAATGGACCATGTACATGTAGTTTGGACAGAACACACACACAAGACCAGAGAGCACCAACGCGCGCTTTCAGTAACATGCGGCGAACATACATGATAAGACACGAATGAGACCCACCCACGGCCGTCCCGACCAGAGATGGCTCGATGGTCTCAAGAACGAGAAGTAGAGCAAGGAAAAATGGTGAGGCAATGGCAGCAGATAGGAATAAGGTAAGGTAAGAGACATGAAGGGGGAATAAATAAATGTGTCAAAAGGAAGACGTCGTGTGTCAGAATGAGCCCGGATTGAGCTGGGTATCTTGAATCTCTCTCTCTCTCCCGCTCTCCTCCTCCTCCTCCTCCTCCTCCTCCGTCTTTCTCCCCGGGTCTGCCTTGGTCTCCGCCTTCGGCTTTGTTCTTGTTCTTGTTGGTGTCTTAATGTGTGTCGTAGCCCTCCTCACGCAACTGCCAGCCCCTGCTCTGCTGCCACCTTTTATTCCCTCTCCTTCTCCCCCAGCTCCGGCCTCAACTCACTGCGATGAAGAAGGGTCAATGGGGGGTGTGTTCGTGTTTCCAGACAACTATGATAGAAGATCGTGTTGGGCGTTCGCTCGGATTCTGTCGTTCGCTCGTACACGCGCCGTGGTGGCAGCCGGAGGGGGGTGGCCGGTTGCACGACGCGACAGGGTTCCAACACTGGTAATTAATAATGCTGGGATTGCGGCGCCCTCGCCGCGATACAATGGAAGAGGAGCGAATCATGCATGCTGCCACGCATGCCACACAGGAAAGAAATCTACTTGATGTTCTTGAAGAGGTCGGACCCGAGGCTTCCGCCATCGTTCACGTCGACCTTTGATTCGAGAGCGCTGAGCTCGGGGATCATGGGGGGCGGGGGTCCGCGAATCTCGGGCCGGCTCTGGCTGTTGTTGGGCTGCTCATAGACGGACGGAGATCGTTTCACGGTGACGGGGGACTCGCTGGTCCTCAAGCGCCGGAAGAATCCACTGCCGCGCTTGGCCTTCTTCTCGTCAAAGATGCTGCCATTGCTGCGGCTCATGGGCCGGGCCGGCACCGCGGTGGCGTGGCCATTACCGTGTGCGTTTCCGTTCGATTGGGTCTCGCCTTCTGCATACGCATTGTTCAGTAAATTGCGGCTGAAGAGCCGGCGGATGCTTCCCGCTCGGCTCGAAGGGGCCGGAGAGAGAGGCGACTCATCAGCTGGTCGTTTCGTACCGGCAGTGGCAGTTGTGGCAGGCGAGGCAGCAGCAGCAGCGGCAGTGTCGATGGGCTTGATCTGCTTGCTCTCGCCCTGCTTGGCATCGACAGGCGGCGTCTGGGGTGGCGTGGGCACCTCCTTGACAGGGCTGTCGGGAGGCGGCGGAATGTTGGTGCCTTCGGTCAGCGAGGCGAAGTTAAAGTTGAGTTGGGGAAGCTCAAAGCGCTTCGAGGTGGACGAAGCTGACGGCATTGTGACGGGTGGAATCGAGATGTGTCTTCGACAAAAAGGTTGATCGTGCAGAGGAGGGAAAGTTTGGCTCGCAGGACGTAAGTAGGAAGGGGGAAGGAGACAAAAGGGTCTGAGCGCGCGAGGGAGCAGAGCCGGGAGTGCGGATCGATCCGTCCAACGTCAGGGCCGTTCGCCGCGTCTGTGGGAACAACAACAGCAAGTGAGGCGTGCTGTGTGGTGAGGCGAGGCGAAGCGAATGCGGCGGCGCGGGATGGACGCCTGTTCAAAGGTGGAACAGAAGGGTTCGATGACGGGCGAGCGGGTGTTTCGTTTCGACAGCGACCGAAATGTCAGATGTCGTGTCTCTCTGGTCTGGAGAAAGGAGGAGTCCGAGCGAAATTGGAGCCGAATCGAATTCTGCCTGGCTTGGGAGGGAGGTACTTCTGCTTCTGATGCTGGGCCCCTGCGGAGCACGACGAAGGGGGCACAGGACAAGGGTGGCGTAATCGCAATCGACAGACGGGCAGGCAGGCAGGCGACGTGCTGGGGTCTGAGGTCACAACGCAACGCAGGTCGCAGACAGCCGAGCAGTGCGGTTGGTTGGCGATTCGCAACACTGGCAGCAGGGTCCTCGGGGCCGATGTCCGGGTCAAGGTGCTCAGGTCAACTGGGACGAGTGAGACGACTGCGGGCGAGGTGGGTACGAGATCTTGGTTGCCCAGAGCCACCGAGAGAGCAGCAACGAATTGAAAGACGCTATTAATGCGGCGAAATGGGTCAGTCGGGGGAGCCCTTGGATGGGGAAGCTCTGTTTCCTTCAATTATCAGACAAACATGTGTCGCTGCGGTTGCAATTGAGCGAGTCGAGCGTCGAATCAAACTATTCTTGTCCTTGTACCCTGTCGCCGCACCAAGATTCGCAATTGGACAGACTTGGGATTGTAGGAACGCAAAAAAGGGGTCGCAGAACAGGATAACAGGATGATGAAGATGTTTGGACGAAATTGGGGCCGGGGGATGTCTGCTGTGGCCGACGATCGAGTTAATAAGTTCGTTCAGGGCCCTGGGTCGGTCGCCCTATTCTTTCGGATCTGCTCCTGCCTGTTCCTAGCTCCTAGCTCCTCCCCTCTAGCTCCTCCCTTCTAGCTCCTCGCACCTACCTAGCTCCTTCTTGCTCCTCTTGCTCCTCGTGCTGCCCTCGCCCTTCCCCTCTCTGGCTCCCCTTCACACACAGAAGAGGCAAACACGTCCCCGGCAGACGTCTGTTCTGGGACTGGGCTGAAGGGACGGAAACCAAAATAGCGGGTCTCTTTTGTCCTTCTCCTCCTCCTCATTCCTCCCCTTCTTCTTCCCCTCCTGTGGCTGGTCCCATCTCACCCTTTTACGCCTCCACTGGCAGTCGACTACAGCCATTTGGGTGGGAACATGACCGGCCGGTAAGGCTCCGGATGAAGCTAATGCTAGAAAAAGACCCGATGCCACGAGCTCACCCGTTAGGCACCGATGTTGACGAGAGCTCTGAGCCTGGGGGGGGAGAGGGGGCCGGGCGGGGATGGACGGTTGCGCTCGTGCGCGCGCTCGAGCTTCATCCAAGGAGCTAAGAGCTTCCTGATGGCGTCTGTCATCCGCCCGAGCCAATGCGATTCGGCCCATCTGTCAAAGACAGCTCACGAGCGTCGTGCTTTCTTTTCTCGACATCCTGGCGTGACGTATGAATCGTGGCAGCCCCTCATTGCTTGCTTGCTTGCTTGCTTGCTTGCTTGCTTGCTTGCTTGCTTGCTTGCTTGCCTACTTGCTTGCTTGTTTTCCCGCTCGGCCACTGTGCTACAACTGACATATCCGCGCTATTTCACGCTGAGAGAATTATCCCCAGTGCCCTTCTTCACACGAGACGTCGAGATGCCCAGAATGCCATCTCGACGCGACCCCCGTGCCAAACCCCATTGCCACCAGGCCTATTCCCCGTCTCTCGTTACCTAGCATGCATGCAGGCAATCACTGGTGCCGCGAACCTGCGTTAGCACAGAAACCCTCGCGGAACGCCATTGGGTCACTTCAGCCTACGGCCCTTGCATCGGCTTCTGGAAACCCGCCACCCTCGGATCATGGCTGAGTTGAGCCTTGACCCCGAGACAAACAGACAAGAGCAATCGGGGACACTGCCCTCAGATTGTTGGGTTGAGAGCCCGAGACACAGTTCGCAACCTTTCGCAGCTTGATCATCTCTGTTGCTTCATGACGTGGGGAGCATTCTTCACATGGTTGTCGCCGCGAGCACATCAGAAATTCGGTCGAACTCCCCAATGCGGCGTCGCCTGCAGTGCCATGAACGCCTTTGTAGGGCTGGCTGCGTGCAGCACAAGGCACTGACTGAACAGCACCTACACAGACTACTCACCTACAGTCCTAACTAGATGTATGTCCAACACCCCCAAGAAACATGGCGGGACGTGTGACTCTCTGTTTAATTACCCGCACCCATTTGCCGGTATTCTTTCCGCGAGGACCTTCCCAACGTCGCGACGCCCTCCGTGCGCCGAAAGGGAGGGAGAATCAGCCGTGGCGATCGAACCGAGCCGTTGGGGGGGTGAGTGGCGGGAACTAGGCTTACCGTCATTCGGGCCCAGCCGTACTTCGTGCGGCATCTCAACCTTGGCCGCTTTTGTTATTTACAGGCGAGTCGTGACGATAGCTGTTTCGCTGTCCAAACGCCCCCTTCATGTTCTGATCCATGGGTCCGGCGCGGTGTTAGGGTAAAGCATAGCCCCCCTTCTTTCCCATGATTCGGGCGAGCTGGCTATCCTTCATTTAGGGTAAAGAGGACCAAAATCTCGGCTTGCTCTCCCCGGCTTGTCCTGTCATGCACATTTTCCAACAGCCCAACGGTCACTGGCCGATCCTCCTCGTTGCCAAGGCGCGGGCCAGTAGTCCATTTCACTGCATCGAGCGCTGCACCCCCCAAATCATGAGCTGTCAGGTCCCCTGCTGGATGCATCCTTCTGGAAAGGCACGATTTGCAACTGCAGTCACATATGCCACAAATCACACCATGTGACTCATGCCGAGCTCGTTTGCGCAAAGTGAACCCAGAGAAGAAAAAAAGTGCAAGGAACTGGATTCCTCACGAAAGAGATACCATGGCTGAAGGAACCCTAAAAAAAAAACTGCTGTCTTCTTCAATTCCGGAGACGCCCCAAAAGGCATTTGTCCTCCTCTCCCCCTCTCCTGTTCGTGACTTCGTTTGCAATACCCTCCGCCTCGCCCGTGACTCGTTTCCTAGCCTTTAAGCCTTGGCATACTTTGCCGTCCACTCCTTCGCCGTGGCTATCGCGGCCTGCTCGTCCTCCTTCCAGCTCTTGGCCACATCGGCGGCGAGGGGGTCGTCGGGGTTGGGCGCGCCGAGGAGCGCCTGGATGGACAGGAGGATCGTGCGGATCTGGAGGGCGGGGGACCAGTTGTCTTTGCGAGGAGAGAGGGTTAGCGAGTGTTTGGGTCCTTGCAGGGGGTTGGCGGGCATACTCTTGAGGACGTCGAGACAGATGCGGCCGAGCTTGTCAACATTGGGGTGGAAGATCTTGGTGAGGAAGCGAATCTTGGGGGGCGTCATGAATCCACCACCAGAAAAGCTCGAGCTTGAAGATACCGCCTGTGGTGTTGTTGATTCACGAGCTAGACATCGCGGCACGAAGACTTGCATGCAGAGAGGAGAGAAGGTCTCGCGCAAACACACCTTCGTACGGAGACTGCGTGGGACCGTGGATCTCGACGTCAAAGTAGCGGAGGTTGTCCTCGTGGGGGACAGCGCTGATGCCGGGAACCCTGCGAGGCACCTTGTCAGTCTACAGTTGCTTTCGCTTGAACGCACGCAGCAGCAGTGGGCGCATAGGGCTCCGCCATGAGGCGCTCGGTCTCCTTGACGATACGCTTCGGCAAAGACATGATGTGTATCTCGAAAAGGTCTGTAAACGGTTGCACCTCGGGGTATGGGAAGAAGGTTCGTTCGATGCGCGCGCACGGGTGCAGTGTGTCAAGGTGGTAGCCGGTCAGGCAAGGTGGGGGAGGGGCAAGTCCTATGCGCTGGCGTCGGAGAGCAGGCCGTCGAGCAAAGGAAACGTTGGCGTAGTCTTCAAAGATTTGGAAAAGAATGTCGAGACACAGCCGTGGTACGCCGCTTGTCAGGTAATATGCTATCGTTCGTCAAGAAGCAGGTCGGCGAGGCGAGTTGCGTGGTGCTGGAATACGTGAGCGAGGTGCCGGTGGGGGAGGAGGAGGGAATGACAGATAGATGGATGCCCCGCCTTGTGTCGCTGCGGCACTCGCAGGAAAAGAGCAATCGCCTCACCTCGCTGCCCGATACGATAGGAACTGGGAGGTCTTGAGGGACGACAAGGTGCCCTGACCTGTAGCTGGTCTGTGCACCTCGAACAACAGGCGACTTGTGGTTGGCTGGCGGCGCTAGGCTCTCAAGTACTTCTGCGCCTGAATCTGGTGTCGAGGTACAACCGCTCTTACCACGCATCTTCATGTCAGGGACCTTCTACTCTGACGCGTGACGATCCCGTCGGAAGGTCTCACCTCAACTGCTTGTCATGTTCACCTTCAACAGCAAGCATTACTTGGGTTGACCACGCACAAAGCCGGTCGCGAGCTTTCCATCGCAACTCATGTCACGGCTGCAGACCGAGATCCTCTGAACGCAGCAGCTTCCGGCGTCTCAGGCCTGATTCATCAGCTTCGAACCCCGGTTCACTGCCATGATGCGAAGCACGTTGCTCACTCTTCCCTGAGCCTCGCCAACATGCCCTCGTTCGATCACATTGACGCTCCGAAGAAGGGCAAGCCGATCAAGTCAGCCTTCGATAGCGAGAGCTTCGATTCCGATGGCACCATACACGTCGAGGGGCTTGTAGGCTCTGCGACCATCTCCCCCTCTGGCCGAGATGTCGCGCTGGCCTCGTGAGTTCATCATCACGGCTGAATGGACCGAGGCGTCAGTCACTAATCGCAGTTCTAGACCCGAAGGCTTGGCCATCATTGATCTGGATTCACCCTACAATCCCCCTCGTCGCCTCAGCAGTCATGGGTTGCCGTGGCTGGTCACTGACGTCCAGTGGTCACCGTTTGCGGCTCGCGACTACTGGGTTGTCTCCACGGCGAATCATCGTGCATTGGTGTGGAATCTGAACCTCAGGGACGACTCGAGCTCCGGTGCGATCGAGCACTCGCTCCAGGGCCACAGCCGCGCCATCACCGATATCAACTTCTCTGCGTATCATCCGGATCTGCTGGCCACATGCGCCGTCGACGGCTATGTACACTGCTGGGATCTACGTCGCCCGAGACAGCCAGTCTTGACCTTCTGTGACTGGTTTGCCGGCGCCACCCAGGTCAAGTACAACCGACAGAACCCGCACATCCTTGCCTCATCCCACGACCGCTGGCTGCACATCTGGGACGAGCGCAAATCCTACGTGCCTTTAAAGTCGATCAGCGCCCACACCTCTAAAATCTACGGCCTCGACTGGAACCGTACGAGATCAACCAGTCTCGTGACCTGCTCACTAGATAAGAGCATCAAATTCTGGGACTACGCGAATGACGATGACAACCCCGAACGGGTGATTCGAACCGAGTTTCCCGTGTGGAGGGCTCGTCATGTGCCCTTTGGCGAGGGCGTGCTCGCCATGCCGCAGAACGATCCAGGCGACCTTTATCTGTACAAAGCGCACCAGAACCCCAGTGCGCCAACGGACGCAGCCACGGAACCGGTCACTGTCTTCCCTGGACACGGGAGTCACAAGGCGAAAGAATTTTTGTGGCGTACCAGAGGAGGAATCAGCGAGCAAGGAATCGACAACAGGGACTTTCAGCTTGTCTCGTGGGGAGAGGACAATGAGTTGCGACTGCAACGGATGGATGCGACAACTCTCGAGTCGGTTGGCTACAGGAAGGGAATGCCCGCCAAGAAGAACCTGACGCTGACACGCAAGGGCGCCACGTACAAGACTTTCCGGACAGTAGAGGACATCGTGAACCGCGACCGCCGAAGTGCTACGATGAGTGATCCCCGCCCTGGAAGTGGTGGGACACAGTATCGGCAAAGCGCCTTGACAATAAGCATGCGGACATCATCCTCGGTACACAGCAAACTAGGATGGAAAGGCCCGTCGATGAAGGCCAAGAGCACACATCGAAAGATGGATCGAAGCCAGGCCCACATCGGCTGGATGAAGGGAATCACCATGACGAAGAAGAAACATTCATCCAACACGCCACGCGGTCCTGACGCGAGACCTCTGAACGTCTTCAGCCCTGGATATCCCGACGATGATAAATGGGGCGAGCCGGAGACGATACAAGATGAGTTTCTTCGCGTCAGCACCCAGCTACCAAAGGTCAAATGGGACCACATTGACTGGGACGCCCTCACCCTCAATGCATCCCTCAATGGGCCCTGGGGAAGAGATGGGGAGACCATCTTCCTCAAGGTCAAGGTTGACATACCGACCAACTACCCGAAGACGAGAGCGCCCAAGTTCTTTGTGGAGAAGACAAGCTTCATGCCTGCCGAGACGCACAGGAGAATCGAACACGAAGTCCACCAGCTGGCACACCAGTTTCTGGACCGCAAGCAAAACTGTCTCGACGTGGCTTTCAGCTACCTCCTTGGAGAGGTTGATCTAGAGACCAGCACGACGTTCTTCAAGAACGTCAAGGACCTCGACGACCCCATGGACGGGCTCGCCGACGACAGCTCAAGTGAGGACAGCGATAACGACATACCGGCGGGCGGCTCGGCGTCCATGTCCCAGGACCTGACCGCCAGTACAGAGATCGACAATACCCTGGCACCAAACAACCGACCAGTGATCCCGCCTCTGCCCAGATTCTGTGGTGCCCGTTTCGCGAGCGATGGAAGGCTGGTGTGCTTCTTCCCTACAAAAGAAGAAAAGGCAAAAGCCTTGATGTTCATACCACCCGAGTCAATGAAGGAGCGTCCGAAAGGCGAGCCTGTCTTTGCCTCATTCGGTCGCCTGGGGCACGACTCGCCACCCCGGCGTTATGGCAACGACGAGGCCTCTGCGACGGAGGAGCAGTCCGATTCGGACGAGTCTGAAAGCTCGTCTTCTTCGAGCGGCTCAGAGTCAACGTCCATGCACAAAATGAACCTGTGGTACCAACCGCGACAGCGGTTCAGGAGGACTTGGAGCGAGAATCGTTCGGTGCGCTCCAGCGCGGAGGTACCGGCGTGGGCACCGGAACCGGTACTGGGTCGCTAAGGAGAAGACCCGGGGGCAAACCTCGGAACATAATTACCCTCCATGATCTTTCAGAAATCCTGCCCGCTAAGAGAACTCTCGCACGAGAGTATGCAATCTTTGGCGACGGAGCCGAAGTGTGCGAGCAGAATGCCAAGGTGGCCGAGAAGTACGGCCACGTCGATCTCATGAGTGTATGGCGCTACCTTGGTCTCTTGCTGCGGAGAGATATTCCGCTCGAGCCTCTCGACCACGATCAGCGCGACGATTCCATCCTCGTCATTGCGCGAAACACAGTCGCACGACATCGCGGTGACGCTTCACCAGGCGGCACGGGTCAACCTACCACGAACCTCAGCGGCCGGGTTAAATGGGGTAATCACCCCTTGGCGAAAGACTTCATCAACAAGCTCCTCGACTTTTACGAAAGGACGGCCGATATCCAAATGCTGGCCATGCTGTCGTGCATATTCAGCGAGTCGTCCGCTGAAGACCCGGTGGCGTACGCTGAATCTCGCCTGACGCAACCTGAGACTCCACTGCCCATGAAGGCACCATCCTTTTCATTGGACTACTTCCCGACAGATGCCTCGCTATGGGCATTGAACGGGCGAAGCCACAGCAACTCGGCGATCACCACGCCAAGGACCATCCACACACCTATTCATTACTCGGGCTCTCAGGGTTCGGAGGACATCCTCTGGGCCGGCGATCCAGGCTCGAATTCGTACTCTTGTGGGGAGACTCCGCCAACCAAGGGTCGAGAGCAACACCTCGACCCGGATCAGCCGCGAAGCCAAAACCAGAGCCAGGCGCCGAGCCTCTCGACTTCCCCCAGCGGTCGCATGGTGTCCAGGGTGAACTCTGGTCTGACTTCCAGCTTCGCCATCAACTTTCCCCGCACATTCGCGGTTGGCATGACGGTGGCCTCTTCACCGCCACACCAGAACAAAAAGCGACCGAGTCCTGCCGAGACGATATTAAGCACGCTCGCGCCCAATAACGCGATTGCCAATGTCACATGGGGCGGCTCGACCGTTCTGGGAGATACGGGCACTGCGCGAACGTCGGTATCGGACGACGAGGGCTTCAGGGAAGAGTCGACATCGCTAGTGCCGATAGGGGTGACGGTCCACATGGAAGACCAGACAATTTTCGACGACGATGGATGGATGTCGACGCCGCTACTGACACCAGGTCGCAGCGACATGTACGCCGTGTATCGATATGCCTACGCTGAGATCCTCCAAATGTGGAACCAACCGCTCGCGAGGCTCGAGATTATGAAGTTCAACACGCTCAAGGAGGACTTTGACTCCAGAGCAGATCGCACCAGCCTACACGATTCCTTCAGCGTCCATGATAACACGACGCTTACTTCGCACCACGGCGTGCCTAATCACCAGCTGCATGGGCCTTCCCCCATTCTTCTTGGGCGCAAGGATCAGCTTCAATCTCTGATTGCGTCAGATCGCGGCCTCGACGTCACAGGCATCTGTCGGATCCACGAGATGCAACTCGAGTCGCTCAAGTATACGACGGCGTTTGCGACACGGCTGGGTGGGGCGGTCGGCGTGTGCGACAGATGTCACCGCACGCAGGCGCAGCTTCTTTGTGTTTTCTGCCACGAGCCGGTCGACGCGCTGTTCCTGCTGTGCCTCGGGTGTGGATGCGCGAGCCACGAGTCGTGCCTCGCCGAGTGGCACGCGCAGGGCGAGCAGCTGTGCCCGGCGGGCGACGAGTGCAACTGTGTCGAGGAGGCGGCGAACGGCCAGGTCGAGTCGTGGGCAGCCATCATGGCGGCGGTGCGCAAGGGAGGTCACCAGCGGGCGCCGTCTTTGGAGGCCACATCGGCATCGTCGATGTTGCCGGCGTCCGCGCTCGAGGTGACGAGGGGGCCAGGCCACCACCTCCATCACTCGGACAGCGAGAAGGGATGGGAGAGCGTCGTGTCGAGCGAGGGCATTCCGAGTCGAATGCAGGGGTTCGGTAACAGCAGTAACGCGGTCATGAGCGCAGCGCGAGCAAGCTTGGGAAACCGACTCAGAAAGGCGGGGGACTGGTCAAGGGCGTCGAGCATCAGACGGAGAGATGACGGGTCCTCGGGGAGTTGGCGGAACGTGGCTCGAGATGTATAGCTTGGCGAGGACGAGGGCGGAAGGGCATGTCAGCTTCATGTGTGTGTACCATATAGTAAGAGTAGTGTATGTGTACTCGTGTCCTGGACGGACCTGGTGGGTGCATGGTTCAAGGACAATAGTCTGTTTTCTTGGGTAAGATGGTGTTGCTTTTGTGAGATATCCCATAATATATCACGCTTCTGTGCCACACATTGACTAAGCCCACGACCTCAGGGTCAACGCATGATGCTCTTCCTCATAGGACGCGATCTGCCTTTTTTGAGCATGCCTGCCAAAAGCACGATCTTGTCGCTTGGAGATATTATAGAGACATGATGATGTTATTTTTATTCACTTCTGGGCCATTGATAGTTTTTGGAGGAGCTCGTTTGGGGCAGTGAATCATAACCATCTACATTCACCGGCCTACAATATCTTATGAGGCACCCACCTAATTCGCGCCTTCCTGAATACCCCCCTCCAAGGAATATCTAGAACGACTTCTTCACGCCCGCGTTGTCTCTTTGACCGACTATCATCAACAACAACAGGTTTACCTACCCATCCTCATCATACGCCATCATTACCCTCAAGTTTTCCACGTTCGATATTAATCAAACTTCGCTCACGATACTCACTGCATCAACCAATATGCCACTCCCTTTCTTACGTCAGACTGTGGCTCTGGCGGCTGGTACACTCATGTGTCTCGTCTTCTTTTGTGAGGCAGCTACGATTCCCGGTGGCATCCAGCATCTCCAGACTCACGCCCTTCACTCAAATGTCACTCTGATTTTTGGTGGTGTTCCCATTGACAATCTTGGACTCATCGGCAAGAACAATCATGCTTCCAACCGTGTCACCGATGACAACCAGAACGAAGCTTCCACCAGCAGCCTCCCCTCTCGCATGACCACCTCAAAGGCCGAAGAACACCTCATGGACTCGTACATGCGCACCAGTGACGAAGACTTCAAGCCCCAGTGCAACTGGCCGAAGGGCTCCCTCGGTGACATCTCCATGTGCATCGACGCCCTCTCCCGGGTGCCGGAAGTCTGCAGGCCCTGTTCCGTCGCATTTGCTTATCGCGGTGAGGATGTCTACATCCCATTCCGGCTCGCTCTGATTGGGGCCCCGGCGGCGCCCCGCCCGAGCTTCGAGATCATCACGGCCCTCGAGTGGATCAGGGATCAGTCCCCAGCTGTGAAAGGCCTGATTGCTACGCCGGTGGCCCAAGGCCGTTGGCAAGAACAACCAGTTCATCGTCAAGGCCAACGGCAGGAACAGGAAGGACGGTACAACTGGCGAAAAACGCGACAAGATTGCGTCAGAATACCAGCAAGGCCAAAAACAGCAACGAGACGCTCTCCAGGCGGTCTCCTGATGAGTGGGACTCTTGTTCCTGGCCCAGAGGTCCCGTCAGAGCCCTCGTCAACAAATGCGTAGCCGACCAGCGACGCAACCCCAACAGGCTGTACCAGACGTTGGACTTTATTGAGATTTGCCGTGTCGAGGGCTCTGAGATGGACGCGGAGGGCAGAGTCGAAACACTTCAGATTAACGGATTCGTCAAGGAGGGCGCTGCCTGGGCGGAGGCCAGCGGCACAGACATTCTCGAGGCCCTGGACTGGATGCGCGACCGGTGCTCGACGTGCCGCGCCGCGCGGGACGACTGCTACGTTGGCGGCTTCAGGGCTGTTGGGCCCCAAGATGACTTTATCGTACAGGTCGTTGGCGGCAAGAAGGAAGATCGACTTGCAGCTCGCGATGCCGGCGAAAAGTTGACAAGCGCCACAAAAGAACTCGCCAGGTACATTCCCGATAGGGAACTTGTCAACATCGGAGCCAAAAAGGCTCAGGCTGACGTGTGCACTTGGCCTCGCGGGCCCATGACTTCGGTTCTCGAATGCATGGACCAGATGAAGGTTGATCCGGAAAAGGTGTTCAAGACCACTGACTGGGTCAGGATCTGCCGCATCCAAGGAGACGAAGACCGCCACATGCTGAGCATTTATGGTTACGCCAGGGATGGTCACGCCGATGGTGAGGCCACGGCCGACGAGGTGTACCAGACGTTGCGCTGGGCCAAACGTTACTGTACGAGTTGCCATGAACCTCACAAGAATTGCTATGTTGGCGGCTGGTGGCTCACGGGCAAAAAGAAGAACATGGTCGTTGAAATCATGGGCAGCGCCCCACACAAGGATGCTCGCTCTCTATTCCTAGATGCTGGCAAAGACGCCAACCTTCAGAGCCTTTCTCCCGCCACTCCTACCATCGAAGCTGTTTCCTTCAACGAGACTCCTACGAACGACAGGGCAGGCAAGGGACAAGACGACACCCCAACCTCTCTCAACAAGCCCATCATCTACAAGTACAACGACCTCACGAGCAACACGACGCAGTACCTCTTTGGCCCCAACCGTGAGCCGCTCGAAGCCACAACGAACCTCACCTGGTCCGACGTTCAGCAAGCTGCCTCGGCCCTGACGCCCACCTCTCGCGTCGCCTACGATGCCCAGCTTCTGAGCGCCGACGCCCTCAACCCGTCCCCCGAGTGCCACGCGAACCAGGTCCCGACCAACGGTACTTACGCCCAGGCCTGTCTCGACTTTCTGTGGGCAAACCGTGACAACACGTGGGACATGCCTAAAAAGACGGAGGTGGACATCTGCGCAGTGCAGGTGCAGACCGTACGCGCCGGGGAGGACGGAAAAGGAGAGGCTTGGCAGGACGTGTTCCGCATGTACGCAACAACATGTGCGTGCCGAAAGGGGCTGAAGCTCCAGGCTGGTGCCGCCGCTGCGGGTTTGCAGAGGCTCATGGACACGTGCAGTCACTGCAACGACGGGGGCATGTGTCAGGTTGGCGCAACACTGCAGTTTGAGGGTAACCTCGAGTTGAAGTTACATGTTGTGTCGTACAGCGAGAAGGTTGGAGAGCCTGCTGCGATGGCGGCATGAGTTGACAAGACACAGCACACTGCGAAGCAAGGCATGGTGACGCGGCATCAGGTGGCAGGGATGCGGAGTCTGAATGGGTTAGTACTGGGCTTGGGATACTTCTTTCTCATGAGCACCAGTTGAAGCGGCAGATGGGGAGGAAGACGTGCAGTCCATAATACAGACAGCAGAAAGACAGAGGACCAATGAGTGAAATACAAAGAGAATATAGCACTAGAGATGCCACGATAGTGACAAGGACCATGACCATGGCAGGTTCCATGACAATGACAAGGATCATTATATTGAAAAGGACCGTAAAAGAAGGACCGTAATAGTAGCGAGGACCATGGCAACGACAAGGATATGAACTCTTGATACTCGTGATTTTTGTCGCGCAGCTGAGAGACTACTAATCGCTTGCTCCTCTCCGATAAATCATTGAAAGTCGATTGCAAAGAAGGCCGACAAAAACACCACGGCGACGCCGGCGACGAAGCTCGCTTCATAGCCCCGATCCTCGGGAAATGCGGCCATCCTACTGCAATCCTACTGCAAAAGGCTGACTCGCGATGGTCCCAGCTCTGCTCCAGCTCGATCACGACATTTGAGTGAGGACCCTTTCTTCTCAAAGAAGCAAAGCAAGGGACGACAGGAGGTACGAATAAGCATCACAGCCACGCAAAGCCATGCCGATGAGTCCTTACCCAACTCTCTCTAGCACCCGTCAGCCATGGGTTGGTCGGTCCACTCAATTGCGCGACCATGAGCCGGCATGAGGTGCTGCAGCACGCGACCCCTGGCCCCTGTCTGGCGTGGCCTCCAATTCGCCCCTCTCGTCGGTGCCATGATGCACTCCCACGACGCTCCCCCTCTGCCCTCCCCTCACGAGCACACCCACTCAGTCGGCTTCCGGCAGGTGGACGGCGATGGGTTGATAAAAGAAACGGCTTGTCATCGCCTCGCGAGCATGACGCCGGCGACGGCTGAGAGTGGAATCCAGTAACCGGAAGGACGGCAGCTGTCGAGAGGCGTCCTCCCCCCTCCCCCTTGTGTTCGCCAGCAAACACCACAAAGCAAACATCTCGTGATCGAGAGGAAAGAGAAAGGCCACCCCCACGCCGCCAGCCATGTCGACAACGGCCGTCTCCACTACCACGGCCACGGCCACAGCTAGCCCTCGCCAGCCGGACATTTCCTATCACCCCGACTACGAAAAATATCAGGCGCGCGCCACCCGTCGTGCCAAGCTCGACCTCCCGAAGACCCTTCCAGACGGTTTCCCCGCCCAGCTCCAGGGGCCCCTCGTCTGGGAGGGCCAGGGCCTCGCCGACCGCTACCAGTGGACCTACGTGCTGTCGCCGGCCCAGCTACAGGAGGTCGACGAGGCCCTTCGCAGCTTCAAGGCCCTGAACCTGCCCCTCGGCCGCCTGTCCCCAGACACCTTCCCCCTGCCCACGCTACACGCAGAGCTGCGCCGTCTGTCGTCCGAGCTGCACGAGGGTCACGGCTTCTTCGTCGTCCGCGGTCTGCGTGTTGACGATTATGAGCGCCGCGACAACATCATCATCTACGCCGGCATCTCTTCTCACATTGCTGCGCTGCGCGGCCGCCAGGACACAAAATATGCCGGCGAGCCTGCCGATGTCGTCCTCACCCACATCAAAGACCTGACCCTGACGTCCCAGGGCCAGGATGGCGTCATCGGGAGCCCAGCCTACACGGCCGACAAGCAAGTCTTCCACACGGACACGGGTGACATTGTATCTCTGTTCGCCCTCGACTCGGCTGCTGAGGGCGGCGCCAGTCGTCTCGCGAGCACGTGGCGCGTCTATAACCACCTCGCTGCCACGCGGCCTGACCTCGTGCGCACCCTGAGCGAGGGCTGGGATGTTAAAGTGTGAGTACACACACCCTCTGGGCAGCTGCCACTTTTTTCTTTTCCTTATCCCCCCTCTCGTTATTAATGCCGTGATTCGCAGCTTCGCCAAGTCTGACAAGCCGTACTGGACACGGCCACTGCTCTACCATCAGCCGGCCACAGCCTCGGCCCCCGAGCGCGTTGTTCTCCAGTACGCCCGCCGCTACTTTGTCGGATTCGGCGCCCTGCCGCGGAGCCCGCACATCCCCCCCATCACCGAGGCCCAGGCAGAGGCTCTGGACGCGCTTCACTTCCTAGGCGAGAAGTACAGCGTCGCCACAGACTTTGAAAAGGGCGACATGCAGTACGTCAACAACCTCGCCGTCTTCCACGCGCGCGACGGCTTCACCGACACGCCCGAGAAGCAGCGGCACCTCGTCCGGCTGTGGCTGCGCGATCCCGAAAAGGCATGGGAGACGCCAGGCGACCTCGACGACAGGTGGCAACAGCTTTATGACGGCGTTGACCCCGACACGCAGGTCTTCCCGTTGGAACCCTACATTCGCAGTGAAAGCAACAAGGGGCGATAGATCGCCAGCAGGTGGCATGCGGGCTGTAGGCAGAAAAGGGAAGAGGGGGGGAGGGGGTGGGCTACCATGAGGTGTCTTGCAAAGACAACATGTGGGCAGACGGTCAATCATCGCCGATGCTACCCATCTGGCTCCATGTGTAGCGTAGGGGTTTCGTCCCTTGTTTCCATCGCGAACAATCAGATGCATGTCGACGTAAGATGCATATGCGAGGGATCTCCCCTCCCCCCACCTTCTCTGCCAACCTTGATCATTGTTTATCATCTGCGCGCACAATGTGACATGACCCGGTCAGCTCGAGCCAAGGGGGACATCCAAGACCGTAAGACGTTTTGGGAAGGCCGTCAATGGCTTTCTCTGAGCACACCAGGGGCCATCCCGGTTCCGTGAGCAGCCATGCCCCTCTTGCGGACCCCAGCGGACAAAGTCTCTTTTAACCTCGTTGATGCGTCGGAAGAGGAGTTGTTCTGCGTCAAAATGGATACGAAAAAGGGGGTGTCGGAGTCGCTTGCTTGCCGGTCGTATGCCCGGCAAGTCATAGTCGGTCCATCCGCGCGCGCGACTCTACTCGCCCAACGCAACGTTGCGAATACTTTGGCCCACCTTTGCCTTCGCCCGCTGGCATACCGCATGACCGCATCGAACCATGAAGTATGGACGAAGGGGGGGAGAGGCTGGGCTTGTGTCCAGACTTGGCAGTTCGTCTGCTTGCCATGGATGATGCAACTCTATTGAGGCCTTGCGAAGCATCCTCGTCGTCGGTATTGGGCGAGGAGGATGAGCGGCGAGCGAAGCCAAGCCAATCCCAACCACGCTCACGTCTGCTTCCAAGGGCTTGGAGGCATCGAACGATGCAGCCCTTTACGAGATGTTCAGCGAAAAGAAAGTCTTAGAGGAGTCCACCCCCCCCCGGGGCTGTCAATCATCCTTCCACCGAACGATGCATCCCTAGTGCCAAGGCACGGGTGGCCGCCGCTGGTATCATTGGCAAAAACGCCATCGATTGGCGGGGAACCGGGGGGCGAGAAGAGGCGTTTGGGGGAAACGGGCGTTCATCTGCAATTACGCCGCTGCCGATAGTTGTCGGCGAGGGCGCGTTCAGATTCGTCAAAAGGGTTCGTGGTCGGCGGTTTGCCGCTCGCTCGTCGCCTCATGATCGTCAGGATGGCGTGCTCCTTGGCCCCGACCAGGTAGGAAGGTCGAGCGTGCCCTGACCCTGCTGCTTCAAATCCAACCGGCCATCGCGACCCTCCCGCGGCGATTGTGCCATTGTGCCTGGTCAATTCGAAAGATCTCGTCCGGCGCTGTTGGAGCCATGTCCTTCGAGAAGCGTTGGGTCTGCATGGATGCAGGGTCGCATGCTATTCGCGGTCGTGCGCTTGTAGTTGTCGTGCCGTCGCGAAGGTGGCCTTTGAATAAATGAGCTCCATGGCCGCCGTCGTCGGGAATGTTAGACTTTGGGACAGGAGAACGAAAAGCGTAGATCTTGCCATCCACTCTTGATCTGCCCTCTTGCCCGCGTAGTAAGGGAGCCAACGAGCTTTGCCGCTTTCCTCCCCTGACGAAGGTCTCACGAACAGCAACAACGCCATTATGGGCTTGTCCTTCTGGAAGCCACAGACCGCGGTCGAAGTGGCCAGCGACAGGTCCAACTACAACTCGGACAGCGAAAACTCCGTCATCCACGATGGAAAGTTGGCCTACGTCCGCTTCGCTGCCGGCAACGGCTCCGGGCCCTCGTACCAGGAGGCCGCCGGCGCTCCCGTTGAGTCCAAGTCGCCGCTTGGCTACCATGTCAACTGGGTCACCGTCATCTTCCTGAACATCAACATGATGATCGGAACCGGTATCTTCTCAACTCGTAAGTCCTATCCGCTCTCGTCGTCTCGGAGGGCCCGTCGCTCGAGCTCTTGTGGCTAAGAGGTAGCTTGGGGCGTCGGTTGTCGGTGTTGATATGATGAGAGACGCCATGTTAACGCGCCATGCAGCCGGAAACATCCTCCGAAACACGGGCTCCGTCGGCTTGGCCCTGATCTACTGGGTCATTGGGTTCTTCATGGCCGCTGCTGGTCTTGCCGTGTACCTCGAGCTTGCCAGTTATTTCCCGAACCGCAGCGGCGGCGAGGTCGTCTACCTCGAGCAGGCCTATCCTCGTCCGAAGCACTTCTTCCCCGTCACCTTTGCCGTCCAGTCGATCATCCTGTCTTTCAGCAGCAGCAACGCCATCGTTCTGTCACGTTATCTTTGGCGCATCATCGGTCGGGCCCCCACCGACTGGGAGATGAAGGGTGTCGCTGTTGCCGCTTACACCTTTGCTGTCATCTGTACGTTTTGATATCATCTCGAACTTGTTTCGTTGTTTCTCGCAGAGTGGCTGATGTGATCGGATCGCAGGTGTCATCGCCCACAACAAGTATTCTCTCTGGGCGTCCAACGTAATTGGTGGCCTGAAGATCATCACCCTCGTCTTCATCAGTATCACCGGTCTCGTAATCCTCGGCGGCAATGTCGACCGCGTTCCCGATCCCCACCGCAACTTCCGCAATGCCTTCTCCGGTACCACTCAGAACGGCAACGACCTGGCCAACTCGCTGGTCAGCATCGTCTTCTCGTATACGGGCTACTCCAACGCTTTCAACCTCGTCAATGAGATCCAGAACCCCATTCCCACCCTGAGGAAGAACGCCACAATCTCGCTCGGCATTGTCTTTGTGCTCTACTTCCTGTGCAACATTGCGTACTTCTCGGCTGGTGAGTCCATCTTGCTTTGGTTTCTGAATCGCGGTTTGTAGACTGACACAATCGGTCATAGTGTCCAAGGCCGAGTTTGCTGCCTCGGGCGAGATTGCTGCCGCCACCTTCTTCCGCACTGTCTTCGGCAAGGGTGGCGCTGAGCAGGCCCTGAACTTCCTCGTGCTGCTCAGTTCCTTCGGTAACCTCCTCGTCGTGCTCATCGGACAGTCTCGCTCCATCCGTGAGATCGGTCGCCAGGGCGTTCTCCCCTTCACCGAGTTCTGGGTGTCGACGCGCCCCTTTGGCACCCCTCTGGGTCCCTACCTCTTGAAATGGGGCATGACATTCCTCATGATCGTCGCTCCCCCGGCTGGAGATGCCTTCGCTTTTGTCGTCAGTCTGCAGACATACCCAAGCGCCATGTTCTACGTCGCCATGGTTCTCGGTGTGTACATTATCCCGCAAGCGTCGTGCCCGTTCCAACCAGCCGCGTCCCGAGTTCAAGGCTTGGCATATTGCTGTCATTTTCTTCCTGCTCATTCAGGTCTACCTCCTCGTCATGCCGTGGTTCCCTCCCAAGGGAGGCATCTACGCCGGAGACGTTAGTTTCTTCTATGCGACTTACTGCATTGTTGGTATCGCCATGTGAGTTCCCATCCCCGCCAGAGCCGGGTCTTCAGACGCCCGCGACCGCCCCCGCCTTCCGTCTCCGCAGTAACTGACCTGATCCACAGCATGATCATCTGCGGCATCTACTACTACGTCTGGATGTACACTCTGCCCAAATGGAAGGGCTACCGCATCAGGACTGAGGTCCTCGATGTGGATATCAACGAGGACACTGGCGCCAACACGCACCGCCTCGTACGGGTTCCCCTCGCCGAACTCGCTGAATGGGATCAGACCCACGACGAGACTGGCCGCCTGCGCCGCCGCCATGTGGCGTCTGGCAATGCGGCCGGTTCTGACGACTCGCTGCAGGGTGACGAGAAGCACGTAGCGCAGAACCCGTCGTACGTCCAGGATGGGCTTAACACGCCCAAATCGTAGATAGTGGTCTTGCTGTCCGTGCTTGGAAGAGAAGGGGGGGGGGGCATGTCGAGCAGACGGTTGACATGACGTCGGATGTCTTGTTTGCGGCATCGTCTTACTTCGTTTGTCTTCGATGCTGTCGCTTCATCCAATCGTTTCCGCAGATAATACCCCGTCAGTTTTACAACAGAACTACAGCTCTCGCTGATAGTTATGCTTGCATATCATCATCATCTGTGACGTCGAGACTGACCTCTCGCTGGAGAAATGGATTGCCGTAGAGGAGTTGGACTTTGTTCGCCGAGTTCAGGTAACAACATGGCCACTTGTCGTGTGATAGGGCTTTCCGGAGGACGCTTCTATTCGGGATCGTTCAAAACCAACGAGACAGTTGCGGTAGCAGAGGCGACCATATGCGCGGGAGCACGGCGAAGCAACACTGTCGCACCTCAGTACATGTGCTAGCTCAAGTTCGCCATAGTATGCGCCAGCAAGGTGTTGCTGGAAGGATTGACATGCGTGATCGAGAGCCAGTCAAGACACTGACGCCGTGTCGAGGGGACATGCATTCTCGCCTGCATAATCGTGATGTTGAGGCATCTTCGAGTTCTGTCACCGGACCTGGCTGGGGTTCATATTGTGTTCATCGTTCACTTGAAAGAGAGATGACATGTTTCTAAATGGACGCTGGCCGTGCGTGAGGAAAGAGAAAGTAAGATGGGGTGGTGTCAGACGTTGGAGATGTCATGTCTATGACTCAAGCGGCGTGTGCTGACAATGTCGTCACTTGGCAGGTTAGGTATCGTGTAAGCCGGCGGAGAGAGGAGGAAGGGGCTGCGAATCTCAGCAGTGCAATATTGAATGATGATCTAGTGCTGTGGAGCAGTGATCATCCAATAGCGTGAATGGTTTAGTGGTAAAATTCTCCGTTGCCATCGGGGAGCCCTGGGTTCGATTCCCAGTTCACGCATTATATCGATCTTTTGCCTTCACCAACAGACTTTTTGTTCGTCTTCTTGTCGCTTTCTTTCTCTTGAAACGAGTGCCCATGCCGAGATGGCAGGATGGTTCTCCTGGAAAAATTTTGCCTTTTCGGCTACCATGAGGAGATACGCCTGAGCTGCTTGCTAGCGGCCCCTTAATTGTATCAGCTCGGTGTGAACAAATATTGAGCCTTCTCCCAACTTGACTGAACTATAGTCGGATTGGAGCGCTGACTATATTGCGACTTAGGGTCTTAGTGAGGGTATAGTTCGTTGAAAAGCGTAATGGTACCAACCAATTGCAGTCCACCAAGGTTTCACTCCGCTGAGGCATGCAACTGTAACTTGCCTTAGAACTCAAATGCTGGTCCCCTTTGCTTTGATCGCCAGCGAAAGCTGGACCATGCCGAGTAGCAAGCCGCAGACATTGCTGGTGTTATTTTGTCTCAAGAAGCAGTACTCGATGTTGATTTGCTTTGCCAACCCATTCGCGCGACCGTGAGGAAGAGCGAAACACGTTATAGCCATTCTCTTCTTGACAGAAGATCTGACAGAAGACGACATCATCAGTCTGTCGGCAAAATTTCTTGATGCATAGGATGGCTCTTGACGGAGCACTCCTTGATAGCCTGTTGGATGGCGATGCATCAGAAAACAATATCTCTTCCTCTCCGCCTACGCAGGAGAAGCCTCCTGAGCGCCAACGAAGAGGATGAGCTGGGACACTGACAGACCCGAGGAAGGATGGATTGACTGTTCTTCGTCTTCTTTCCAAATTGACCCCCTTGCATCCAAGATACTGTAGTCCGCCTCAAACTATCCACAGCTAATGGATGTGTGAGGGTGCTCCGACTGGGACTATCGCGGTGATCCTAGCTGACACTGTCCAGGTATCATACTACTCCCAGCGGACACTATTTGCACAGATGTCCATCCAGCCATGCCATCTCATCTTCTCAACAGCATTCGATCTTCTCAATCAAGTGTCTGAAAATCTTCCCCTCAAAAACCATTGCATGTGATGTGCTTTGAAAATTGCCGGCTATTCAGGGCCAGGTTGTGCGCATTTCCCATCTATCCGTCGCAACCCAAGGTGCATGCCGATCATGTTCCCGCCGGTCGTCTCGACAGCCGCGCGCCTGGGAGATCCGATAGGGCAGGTTTCATGCAGATGTGATCGTCCCAGGGCCAGGGTGATCGACACATTTAGGCTCATCGCGATGGGCAATCATATCAAACCCCCAGAAACATAGTGAATCACGTACTATTTTCCTAAAAGCAACCACGCTCGGCATCACATCACATTGTAGATCATAGAAAGGTAGCACGACAAAGGGTGTTGAACACGTCAATTCAGGAACCGAGCGGCACCGCCATTTCCTCCAGCCCGGTCATCTTTCGTCTCTATCCATTGCTTTCC